TTAGGAAGTTAGGAGTAGTGGTAGCCTGGTAGGAAGGTGGGAAAGGCAAAAAGAATTTGAGAGAAGAACATAGTGTAGGTTTTTTTTTTTTTAATTAAATATTTATATATATATATATATATGTTGGATTAATAAATAAATAAAAAAAGGTTGGATTGCCATGGATGGTCTTACAGTCTGGCTTTTTCTGTTTGTCGTTTCCTTTCTGTTTGTCTCACATCCTCGTTTCCTTTCCATATCAGCACTAATAAGCAGATTGAGAAAATCTTCGTGGAGGACAAGAGTTCGACAACGGTCGAGATCCAGATCGAGGTTCAAGCCGGGATACATACCCAAATCAAGATCTGCTATTGGAGAATCAGAAGCTGTGTAGTGCCGGCAAAGAAACAGAAAAAAAAAAAAAAAAAGGTAGTTTGGTTGGAAGAGAGAGGAAAGGAGATGGGACAGAGGTCGAGGCAGAAGACAACCATCACGGTTTCCTTGCCGACGCGAAAGTTGAAGAAGACAGCTATGGCGCGGCACGGCTATGGCGGCGCCGGGGGTGACAGATTCACTGACAGCAGCGTTCACTTTCTCGCCGAGGTGGCTATGGCCGTCACTGCCGTTATGTTGTCTTGCTTTCCGTTGGGAGGATTCGCTGTGGCGGTGACGACTGTGAGCTTTCCCGGACCAGATGGGGTGACTCTCTCTGCTGTGCAGTATGAGCCTAACGGATTCGCTAACGGGGTCCGTTACCCGGCCGTTGTCATGCTGCATGGCTGCAGCGGCATGTGGTCCGGCAGGAACGTTGGCGCCGTTAACAAGGACGGCACCCCTAATTTGCAGAATCATTTGGAGAAATGGGGGTTGAAATTGGCAGGTCTAGGGGTCGTGGCTCTGGCAGTCGACAGCTTCACTCCGCGCGGACTCCTCTCCCCCAGCGAGCAGTGGCAATGCGAGGGCAGCGTGTCCGTCGATCCCCACACGACACGTGTGGAGGATGCTCGGCGCGCTTACGACTACTTGATTGGTTTGTTGGAATCCAAGGTCGAGGGTTCGAAGATCGCGTTGCTGGGCTGGAATCATGGCGCGCAGGCGGCTATGGTCGAGGTCGCCGCTACGCCCCGCGATGTCAACTCTGAGCGACCGGTCGCCGACCGCCGCTACCTCGCCGCCCTCTGCTTCTACCCTGAATGCGGAACGCTGCTTGGCTTTGGCGAGACGGTGGAGGGAAGCTTCTGGAGACCCTACTCTCCCATGCAGCTCCACGTTGGCAGCGCTGATTTCTTCTACGAGCAGTGCAAGCTGCGCGCCGAAATTGCCCAGACCGCTCCGTACAATGCTGACCTGTCATTCCCTGATCATCCAGCCGCTGTACATGCTTTCGACGGCTTGTCACAGAAATGGCCCGTCTCGAAATGCGACGGCACCCCATCTGAGGCCGACGCCCAGGAGTGTGCAATGAGGGCTGCAGACATCGATGGTCTGCATTTCTTCAAAGCTAGTCTGGGCCTTGAAGCAGCAACAGAATCTGCTCACTACGACGAACTCTGAAGAGTCTGGACGATTGTTGTTACAGTACCCTTTTTTTTTTTAAGGGGTGGGGGTGTGGGGAGGGGGGGGGGGTAACTACGGCGCAGTCACCTAATTTAAAGCGTTTGTGTAAATGCATTTGAAACAGCCTTTTGGCAGACTGAGTCCAGTCAGGGCCCCAGTTTCAAATGCAGTTGAAATTCGGGGCCAAGTCCCACTTACACAAATTCTGGATTTCTGACCCTTGATTCTGAAGATCAACGGCCCGAAATGAATATTTGGTGGGATGGGACTTGGCCCTCGTGCTGCGGATTGGTTGCACTTCAGTCATAGAGGGTACGACCACTTGGGGACAGACTCACACTACCCAGCAGCGTCTAGGCACTCAAAATCCCAGAATCGCAGAATCAGCCGCCAGATCAAGTCCTCCTCAGAGAAGAACTGTCATTTTGCTATTCCGTGATTTTCAGGGTCTAGTGTGAGTATACTCTTAGGGGGAAAAAAGAAATGCCAGCCAGTCAGGCCGTTGGTGAGCCTGAAAGAGGCCTACGGGCGTGGCACTGAGTGCTCATCCCCGTTGCCGCCCTTGAACTGTTGAAATCCAGGCCAAGTTAAAGTCCAGGTAAAACAGGGAAAGGTCAGACCAGTTGCAAGGTAAGGAGCCTCTCCCCACTACTCTCGTTCTGTGCAAAATGAGGATGAATCTTCTGCTAGAACATCGGGAATCTTCTGCTAGAACTTCGGCGGAGGCAGATAGGAGGCGAAAAGGTTAGTTTCCCTCCACAGGGAAAAGGAGGGAGCATGCCTCTCCCTTTCCTCTTCCGTCGGGGGAGAGTGGGAGATGTTCAGGTGGTTTCGGTATTTTGCAACTCGGAGTCCGCAATTGGCTGATCTGCACTGGAGCTATACATAAGTGGTGTGGTAGTGGTAGTCGTTCAGGAATCTCTTTGGTTATTTGCAAATTTTCTCAATTGTTCTTAGTAGAAGCCCCGGTATCTCGAACTGTGTTCTGTAGTATTTGCATGAGGTCCGGTGGCCGGGCCGGTGTTGGTCCCCACGAATAGAGTGGAGCATTGCCCCCCCACACACACACACACACACACCAAGAAAAAGAAGAAGAAGAAGAAGAAGAAGAAGAAGAAGTTGCCCTCCAGGCTTCGTTGTCGATCTGTAAAACAGATGTTTTTATTGTTTTCTTTTTTTTTTTTCTG